CTGTGGAGCCACAGAGCAAAACCCAAAGGGTGGCTTTGTTGTGCTGCAGCAGTAGGACCTCAGCCCTCAGCCCGTCAGCCAAACCTCAGCATGACTCCCCGTGTGTCTCTGCATCTGCGGCTGAATCACCAAACCCACCCCCACCGAGCCAAAACAGCTCTGGAGTCGTCGTTCCCCGAATTAGAGCAGAAATCGACAAAACTGTCTTGGAAATAAAACAGTCTTGAGCTTCTGACGGTCCGCTTACCTCACAACCACTTGACTGAGTCATTAATGTGCCTCGTTTTTCAATTTAAAAAAGGAATTTTCTTTTTATTATTTATCTATTTTTAAACAGGCTAAATTCCCATTACTTGGCATTTCACACAGGTCAAAGGTCAAGTTGTTTATCCAACGTCTGGCTTCTCTGCACCCGCTTCATCTCACCGTCTAAAAACAGGCTTTTTAGGCCAAATCTGAGACCATTCATGCACTCCAGGAGTGAGTGCAACTTTGTAATAAGCGGTACCGAAAATGAACTGATGGCTTCGCGAGCCCAATCAAGTGCCTGTACTGAGGAGCGTTCTCCCTTTCAGCTGAATGACTTCCAATTAAAACGGGAAGTGTTGAGTTTGGTCTGCTCAGTGGACGCCCCCCATTATCTCAGACGTATCAGAGAAACATTGTTTTCACAAATAGATTCACTGAGAGAATAACTCTTGTTCATTTAATAGCAAAAAATTGTAGCCCGGCTTCATTCTGCATCTTTTTAATTCTGGAACCACTGCAATTGACCTGGATCAGTTCGGTTGTAGGAAGCAAAGCTGAGGCAGACAGAGCCCCAGCGGACGGCAGGTGACGAGAAATAATCCTTTATTTTACTCGGCTAATCAAAAGATGCTGCCGTGGCAGGAAGCCCAGTAACATAATCCAAGAGAAGAGCAGAGCGTGGCGGAAAAAGATGCACACACACAAAACCCACAGAGACAACGAGGGTCCTCCAAAGAAAGCCGAACTGAGCATCTACTGGAGATAGAGGTGATTAAGATTCAGTGTGAATAGTGAGATAATAAAGGAGGAAATAAACTCAGCTAAGTACAAATACAAAGAGACAGAAAATGCACCAAAAAATTGAGAAAACGAGCCGCGTGGACCATGTGGCGTTCAACACGGAGCTCCGTCAACATCAGCCTGTTTTTTGTGTTCTGTTTTCTTTAAAACTAAAGTTTCTCCTTCGGCCCAACCGACTCAGTTTAATTCAGCCAACGCCTTCACTTTAGCTTATGTTGACTGTACGACTACTTGTGCCTCGTGACCTCTGTCATCCGCCGAGTTGCTGATATTGCTGTGTCACCGCGTCCGACTGTCCGGCTTCTGTTAACGTTCCCATCTCCAGTGGTGCTCCCACATCTGCTCCCTCGGCCTCTCCCAAAGTGACATCCACAGCCCTCTGCTGGTCCTTGAGGACCGTCGGGATGACTCTTCAAAATGTAAAGACAAATTTACTCCGCAGAGGACACTCGTCCTCTGTCTTCCGACTAAATTAACTTTTTTTATTCAGCTAAGTTGAGGGGGGAGGAGGGGCCACAGCTTTGAGTCACGTGAAAGTTTTAAATGGCTGCTGTTTCCAACCAAACAGACTATAAAACACCTAAACACTATGTAAAAGAGGCGAGAAAAAGGAGAAAATGTCTGAGATACCAAATTCAAGAGTCCATAAGAACCAAAATATATAAAATGATAAGCAAGTTAATTGATGACTAAGTAAAATACCACAATACAATAGAGTACAATAAGGAACACAATGAGAAAAAACAGCAAACCACATCTGGGAGACATAAAAAGAATGAACAGATACTCATGGTAACAACTAAATGACATTCAGTTAAACTATTATTCCAATTTCGAAGACCTATAGTTCTGTATCCAAGTTTACACGCCGGGGTTTAGCTAACAGCGGTGCTAACAGTGGTGCTAACAGTAGTGCTAACAGCGGTGCTAACAGTAGTGCTAACAGTTGTGCTAACAGCGGTGCTAACAGTAGTGCTAACAGTGGTGCTAACAGCGGTTTTTGCTTGTGCTCACATCTTTGTTGCACCTCGTGAAGACATTTGATGCCACCCAAATGCGACCAGATCTAATTTAAGTGGATTAAAAAGGCGTTCGCCTTAGCGCTTTAGAAATGATGGACTGTTTACACTTCCAGCAGGCCCTTGACATTTGCTTCTTAGTGGCTCGCGCTGTAGCAGCTGCTGAAAAATGCATGAGGGGGCCCAGCTGTCTCACCCCCCCCCCACCCCCCCGCCCCCCCCCGTGCTGCTCAGGTAATGGCTGATGGACGGACGCAGGAATTCATTGCAGTTTCTTGAGAAGGGGAACCGAGACAGCGGAAACCCGTCTCTCTCTGCGTTTAATCACATTTTCCTTGCTGTCTAACTCCTCTCTTCCCTTCGATCCACCCTTTTTGGCGTCCTCCCTCTGATCTCCCTCCGCGGTTTCTCACCCTCACCTGCCTCTTCCGCCCCTCCTCTCAATTTCACGAGTCAGCCTCACTCCCTCCATTTAGTCCCGGTATTTATTTATTTTTGCTCTTTCCTCTCTATGGGTCCCCTTGTGCAGTCTCTTTTTCATCAAGCCCCCCCCCCCCCCCCTCCCTTTCTTTTTTGCCTTTTTCTTTCCTTCTCTGCTCTCTTCATTCTTCTTCCTCCGTCCTCCGTCCTCCTCCTCACTCCTGCAACCATAAAGTAGATGGCCGGATGATTCATCTCTGCCCCCGGACTGTTGTGATCCACGTTTTATTGCCCAGTTGAGCAGGACTCCCCATCCCTCCTCCGCTGTCCGTCTGTCCTCTGCGGCCGCTGACGTTCATCAGCCCAGACGCTCTCATCTTTATTCCGAGGATGCTTTGTTTGGACTCCCAGTGAGGCTTTTACAGGGATATTGATTGGGTACGGGGAGTTGTTGTTTTATTTTTTTGCAGCCGGTTTGATTTCGGCCGGCTCCTCTCGATGGCTCTGTCCGTTTACTGTCCAGCTGCCTTTTTCTGGACGTTACCCTAATGACCAGAAGCCATCACACGTTTCACCACGACCGCCCGCCGAGGCGTGGCCGTGCGCGGCCCCCCTGTGGCCCGTAAGCATCTTATTCAACGGTTGAGGTGTTTTTTTTCACATGACTGATGATATCGGATCGATCAGCGAGAGATCTAATTAGCCCACGTTCCCTGACGGATGTCTTTTCCACTTCATTTAAAACCACATCACTCGTCGCCGGATGCTCCCGGGGGGTTTTCGTCTAAGCGTCTGAGCCACAGGGGTGGCGCCACTCTGTCTTCAAGCCCGACCGGGCCTCGCCTCCAAGGCCTTCGTGTCTTTGTTGTGTCCAGAGGCTCCCATCTGTCCGCCTCTGCTCACTGTAAAAACTCTTTCTTCTGCCCAAATATTAAAAATGTCAGACGCGGTTCCTTTAGATTAAATCAATCTTTCTTCTTCTTTTATCTTTACAGTAGACAAAATGTAATAGTGACATTTTGAATGTATAATGCAAAAAAAAGAATGAAAAAATCTATTTAGATTTGACCTTTTCTTTGATTTGTATGGTTAACAAACTGGACTACTTTAAAGCTAACTGGTATTTGTTTGGTTTATTGCCAACCGGGTACACTACCTTCAGATATGCCTTTCCAACATGTTTTAACAACAAATTGCTGATTGCCTTATTTGATTTTTTATCATTAACACGCCATAACTTAAAGCCAAGAGGCAGCTCTCCTCCAGACGGGGCACAGACAGCTGAATTTCTGCCCATCGTAAGAGTTCGAATAAAGACAACTGGACATCTCCTTGGGTTTTGAGGATGTTTCAAGGTGTGTTTAAAGTTTAAACGGGGGGTTTCTCAGGTGTCAACTTCCCAGCACATTGTCCCTCCTTCCTAGACAGGTTTATAACCACCTTGTAGTTCAGAATGGGAAAAAAGCCTCCCCGTGGATGGGTGAAACACCCTCAAGATCCGAGAACACGTCCAGCTTCCTTTGCTCAAAGCTCTTGGGATTGCCGATTCCCGGATGGCTGAGTATTCGCACCAACATTTAACGCAGGTATTTCAAACCCACCTCCCGTTTCTGCTGACAGGCGGCCCGCGCTTCATCTTCCAGCAGCTGCGCGGCATTCATAGGAGGGAGGCGGTTATGTGGCAGCTCGGCCGGAGTCTCAGGCAGTAAAGGGTTGATGAAATATGCATTGACCTGAGATTGAGTTGAGCGACCTCGCCTGTGCAGGCGTCTGACAAGAGCGAGTCTCCGTGGGACCATTTAATAGCACTTGGGCTCAGAGTTTGTGACGGCTCAGTCTATTCAGCCCCTCGCCCTGTTGTTATTGCATAGTCATGCAAAGTGTGTGTGCGTATGTGTGTGTGTTTTCAGGGCGTTCCTCCGATTGGTAGTGGGGAGAACAAGGCCGCCCGAGGGCTTTTTAATGGGAGCTTTTACAAATTTCTCCCTTTCATCCTCCTCGGTGCATTATAATTGTGAGTCAGTCAGCGTTTCCAGGTGTCTGATAATTATTGTTTTTGTTAATGTGGGAGATTTTTTTTCTCCCTATCTAATCTCGGTAGAACGGCATCGAGCCGATGACCCAGTCGTCTCCTTCATCTCACGCTAACAACGTGAATGATGGGGGTCGGAAAACCTTACCTGATACAAATAAGCCAATCCAATCCCCGCTGGCATTAAGATCTCTCATAGACCATAAGACCAATTCCTTCCTATTGATCATATCTATTTAACTTCATATTTCAGTGTTCGGTGCATTGGGGATTTCGTTTGAATGCCATCAAATTATAATAATAATGGAATATGTAATATAACCCTTCAGTATATTTGCAAGATTTTGTAAAATAGCTTTTCCGGGGAATTTCCTTTTCCGGGATTATTAAAAGCTACCAGAAACTGGTTTATTTGGTGTTGTGTCAACTTTGTGAAATGCCGCTCCACAGAGAAACTCACTTTGCCAGATAATATTGAAATGCGTGCGTCCAGGGTCGTTATAGCCACACGTCAAACCTTTGAGGATGGTGAAAGGAAAACGGCACAGAGTTGTTAGAAGAAAGCTTCAAAGCACCACCTGGAGGCATTGGGAACAAAGACGCATTTCTCAAAGTGAAGTTTACTGGTAGAGGGAGAAAAACTCTGACACCATTTTAGCAAATGGGCTTTTTATCACACAGAGAGGAAAAAAAGAAAATGTTTTGCACATCATGGATGCTTAATTCTCAAATTTTCACCCAATGTCATAATCTATTCTCTCTTTTCATGAATTGCTATCAAAGTTTATTATAAATCTGCTCAGGGCTGTGCTGTATTTTAACTTTTTAATATAAACTGAAACTTACAATATTGTGTATGTTGGCATAACATGATGCTGCATTGTGGCCAGGCTCAGTAAGATCCTGTGGCCTTTGCATCGTCCCTGTCACTTAACACATTTGGAACTATATACATTAGAAATAAATAAGACGGTGGGTGCAGACCTATCACAAACCACCAGTCCTCCCCTACCGTGCTTGAGAGTTGGTTTGAGATGTTAGTTTCTCTATGCATTGTGACCAAACATCTCCATTTTGATGGAAATACAATGTGTGTCACCATTTACGACTGCTGGTATTTAAAACACAAGATTTAATCAATAGTAATTAAACCATAATTTGAACATTAAAATATGGAAATTAAACTCTTTGTAATAGATGTGAATCCATACCAGGACAGACAGTAGGTAACCTCCTATTGTTCCTATATATATATATATATATATGAGTCTGAGCCTATAAAGTTCTGACTGAGGAACGAACCCTGCCTAATGATGTATACCTAATGTCTAGTTCAAGAGTGACTCAGAAATAAGGTCTCTGCAAACATCCAGCGGATTACATCTTCTATTAGGTATGAAAGTTAGTGGGTTAAGAGGTCTCTCTCTGGCCAATAAATCCTCTTAATATGTATCCATTTATCTTTCATTATAGCGTATTACATAATCGTTCATTTGGCATTAAGTTTCTTTTAGTGTGTCTTTACATAAACGCTTCTTTATTGGATGCAGAAAAAGTCTTAAAGCACTATTGATGCTGATTATTCGTTCTCTGTAAAGTTCCTCTGGTGTGGAATAAGATGTAGTTTTCCATACCTGTGCATATTATCATTTCTTATTGTATTTGCTGATAACTTCTTAGAATTTATTATTTGGATTGGGATTGGTGTGATTATGATATTATGATAAGAGGATGAATCCTTGTTAATTATGGCATCGGTTTGTTTTTAATGCTGTTATTTTTTATGTTAATGATTGTGAGGCTGTCTTGAGCCGATATGTTTTTGTTAAACCACAGTTTTTGGATGCAGTGACTCTTCTCTGACGGGAGCAGAAATATTAGTATAGAGGATATAATTTGCTTCTACTTGAGGCAAGAGCGGCAATTCCCTTTTGATGAAGAAATTTTCAACGAGCCATCTGCTGCTGGAAAAATCCACAAGCAAATATGTGCGATAGCGATCTGCCAAAATAAATATTATTGTCTTGTACTTCAAGAATTAATCGTATCTCATATCTCTGACAGACTGCAGACTCTTTAGATACTAAGTTGTGTTAACCCATTATTGCCTGATTTTATTGTCAATAACTGATTCAATGATATGTATTGAACAACCCGTCATTGGAGACATTTTTTTCTGCACATAATATAACATTTTCAACAATAGACATAAAGGCTTAAGAAAGAAAATAAGACAAAAGAGCAGCTACTCCTGTCTTCATCTTATTTTGCATCACAATGGATTATCTGGTCAAATCTTCACATTTAATGCATGGTAAAAAAGTCTTTCTCACAGTATATAAGCATTGTGATTAATATGGCTCTGATCATGTGGCGGCCCTTTTGAAAAATCCAGATTTAGTAAGATCCAAATTCAAACTGCAGAAAAAATAGATTTAGCATTTGAGTCAGTATCCAGCTTTGATCCTTACCGCTCCTTACTGAATTAATCATTATTAATTCATAATCCCGTTGCATCTTTAATTTACCATTTTCCATCATTAAAAGATGACACAGCTGACCAAAAAATGGGTTAACACAAGCCTTCAGTTCCAGTCGCCTGGATGTGTATTCTGGGATTTATACAACACAGCCACAACAAAACACCAACATGAAACAATAAGCAGCTTCATTTCCACATACGAGTGAGAGTTATTAGTTACTATTGGGAGTTAATATTTGTAACATGGTAGTTAATTTTATTCTAAGAGCTGCTGTGAATTTTAAAATGTTTTCTATAATTAAACAAATAAATAAGAACTTATTTGCCTTGAGGTGGCGGTTTTTAAGTTTTTGGACAAAGAAAGTTAAATCATCTTAGCTTTCCGTGTCTACATGGTTCCTTTTAAAACTTTTTGGTTCATCATCCAAAGTCGAATGCATTTATTTATGCAGTTGTTGCATTGGCCTTAATCATCAACACCTGAGAAATGGTGGATAAAAGAAATGCTGGGGAAGCAGACTTCTGGGTCAGCGTTTCTGCTGCTGGAGAGCACCTTGCTGCTTTTTCCTTTGTATTCTGTGTTTCATCCCTCATAAATAATAAAAAAAACACTTATTTAATAAAATAGATCTAATATTTGTGTCAGCTTTGATACTGATTTACTTTGTGATAGAGTCCGTAAGTCCACTTACGGGGCTGTATGTTTGTTTTGTCCTGGGTTTTTCCGTCATTGCCAGTAAAATATAAGCCAAAATACGTCTGCTTTGACATAAACCTAATCTTTAGACTACACAGCACACGTTGACTGGACTGAGCATGCTCACAGAACACACATCGACGGACAGATTCACACAGAAGCGCCAGCATAATTAATTTATTACCCAGTCCTGTGATTTATTTTTGTCCCCATCTGACCTTCTGCGCTGCCCGAATATAAAATGTCCTCTAAGACTCGCCGTGCTCGGCTGAGCCGAGAGCTCAAACACCCATCCAGCTAGAGCCCCGCCAGACGGTGGATCATAACCCTTCATTTCTGCTGAAAAATGCCTCACCTTCCCACTCCTTTTCTTCTTTCTTTCTTTCTCCGCTCGTCCCTTCGGAGCATCTGAAAATAGCAGCCATGGGAGAAGTGGGTCATCTGCCATGTAATAGTGTCTATAGTGAGTTCATCTGTTCCTGTTTGTAACCCAACATTCTGCCAAGCCACGGTACCGCTATCCGTCTGAAAGGGCAACATTTTTAGTTTAATCATCACATTTCATTTGCAGTTCACGATTTTTAATGAATTAGAGGTCACTTCGATATCACCCCTTTAGGCTAATTTCAGTAAATTAACAACATATCAGTATATTTGGATTTGTGTGCATGAATGTCTAAAATGTTTATGTAACTGTCATCGTTTATGGGTTTAGTTGTGTGTTTCTATCTTTGTCATACGCTCTGGTTGAATTTTTTCTAAGTTCCTTTCCTCAGTGTTTGTTTTCTGTTCTTTTTTGCTAGTTTGTTTCTATCTCTCTGTTTAGTTCTTTTTTTCTGTCCTAAGACGTCCTCAGTCATCCTGGTTTGTTCCTTTGTCTCATTTTCTACCTTTTTCTGTTTTTCTCTCACTTGTTGCCACTCAACTCATGACCCCTCCCCGTATTTAATGTTTTCAGTCCACCCTGTCATATGACATTATATGATGTGTCGATTCCCTATTCCTCTGTTTTATTTTTTAATTGTTTTGCTCATTTTGATTTCATTCTTAAACTTGTGCGTGAATGGAAACATGTCACATCACAGTCACTGCAAGGTGTTGACAGTATTAATTAGGAGTGTTACGGCCCTTATCTTTAGCTGGTGAAAACCAAAAGAATGCCAGTTGTGCTTTAAAAAGAGTCTTTCACACCGATAACTTTAAAAACAAACACACAATAATCTCAGTAAACCTGAGTAATCCGCACACAAAACCCACCAGTTATACCTGCTGAAACAAAACAGTCCGACGTACCCTGAAATAAAAATGGAGGCCGTTGTTTTTAATGGGACTCTGCTTTATCTGAGAAGTCGTGTCTATTTTCAGCTGTGTGCAAACTCGACTCATGTGGCTCAGTGGTTGATCTAATTAGCTCTTATGTGTTTAACTAACACAGTTAGGGGAAACGGGTCCCATGCTGAGACAGCTACAATGTTATAAAACAGCCAGGAGTGTTAATGTTTGAGAGGATAAAAATGGAAAATATGAACAGATGCTTTCCTGTGAAATATTTAACATAGTGGGAGGAACGGGAATGAGGTATATTTGAGTCAAAAGTCACAGGACGCTGTTGTATTTCAGAAACAAAATGGATACTGACATATTTGAATAACCCAGTGAGTAAAGGGTCAGGCGGCCTATCTTTCATGCTATGTTCCTAACATGGCCGCCATCTTTAAAGCTGACGTATTGGATGAAAGGCACATTTTTCCAATGGGAAAGTGGTCATGTAGCATGTCAAATTAGACCGGAATTGTCTCAGAAATTGGTTGTTGCAACCAGATTTGTGATATCTCATGTGGTTCACAGGCCGTGTTCAGCACCAGGGACAGCACACTGAACGGGTCAGATAGCTGCGCCCCCACGGGCAGCGTCACCAGGGGCTGTTTCAACTCTCTGTGTTGATTAGTTTCATTTGTCCCGACTTCGACCCTAAAGGAAGCTCTGACACCACGTGTTATTCTCCTGATTTCTGTCTGACCATTGAGTCAAACTTCATTGGCATTGGGCAGTTTTTGTGTTCCCTCACATGAGATGAGCCCATCAGAGGGCTCTCTGTCAGGGAGCGGGATCCAGACCTACTTTGTCATAGTTTGCCATCTGAGGGGAACCAGGAGCCCTAAACAGCAACACTTAAGTGGTGTGTTGATGGGTGATTCATCATTGAGGCGCCCACACTTTAGATTATCGTGGTAGAAGATGAATGTGCATCATTAAGACCTGAATCTCCTGTTTCAGCCATTGAGAAGCAACCTAAAAAGTTCATTTTTTCCCCTCCATTTTATTCAAATGTTTGTCGTGACGTTACAGGTCATCAGGTTATAAAAACACTGCTCGTGTTAAAGCTGGCGTTTGCTTTTTTATTTGACTCCTTTCATTTGTCTACCTAGGATTCAAGTGTCCTGTCTGCTCCAAGTCTGTGGCGTCCAATGAGATGGAGGTTCACTTCATCATGTGTCTAAGCAAGCCTCGCCTCTCCTACAATGGTAAGAAACATCTCTGTATTTTTAACTTTTTTTTTTCCGGTGCCAGAATGGAGGAGATAATCTTTTTGACGTGCCGGCAATAGTGAAATTATTTGTTTTTTTCATCAAGCACTATTTTTTTCATATTTAATGGCCCCCTCCTAATATTGTGCCCGGTTTCATGCAGCTGCGGTCATAAATATTCACAACGAGGTGGGTGGGTCCTCATCCCGGTGCGTGTTATTGAGCTGGTTCTCCACAACATCATAAATATGAATGGCACGAATAAGAGAAATCGCATGAATTCACGGAGTGACCTCACACAACCCGGCAAATCCAGTCATCCGGTTTTGGAAAATACAAACACAGCTGAGGCCTCTTGGCAATCAACGCCGGCCGTAACATGGTAGCTCTAAAGTTTCACAAGATGTTGCTGGTGCGATCTGACCCCATTACGTCTGCTTGTTTCTGTTCCATTCTGCTGGAGCAGCAGAGACTCAGCAAGATGCAAACAGCAGCGCGTAAAGAACAGAGGCATTGACCACTAATTAGCAAACGTTTAGTGGGCTCCTGGTACTGTGGGAATGCTGTTTATATATACAGTGTTTAGGAACTACTGAAGGACTTATCCTGTTTAGTGGGCTATTTCTCTTTCTGTTCATTGATCATGTCGTTTAGTATGTTTAAATTAATTCTACGGTGGAATAAAAACTATGCTAAAACATTATATCTGTGCATTTATCCATGTGAAATATCAATTATCCCCCACCCCCCCGAAGCTTATGGTTCAAGTGTTCTCCATGGGAACATTTTCCACTGACAGATTTCAACAATGGCAAAGTTTAAAATGCTTTCCTTGAATCTTACAGAGCATTTAGGGTAAAAGACTTTATTAGGATATATTAAAAGGCAGATCTTATAGGGGGAATTGGATTTAGAAACAAGCTAAAATAGTCCCACGGAGCAATATTATTTGATTAAACTGTCATGGTGTGGTGTAGAGACGAGGACCCATGCAGGAAACTGCAGGAGGCAACTGGATCAGTGACAGAACAATTTAATAAACTAATGGACTGAGCAAAGACAAAGAGCTGCAAAGCGGGTAAATCCAAGGAAAAACAACCTCACATCAAACCCTAAATATGACAAGGAAAGTGGCAGAAACCAAGCCGCTGGAAGCACAAATACGTTTACTTAAAATGACCTGGTAATTAACTCATGACAGAATATAGACTGAGGAAAACGATCAGAAGGGAAAATGACAATAAAGCAGAACCCGAGAGAAACAGAAAGACGACTGAAAGCAGAACCAAAGAGGAGGAAATAAAGAAGCAAAAACAAGTAAATATTTAAGAGCTCAGATGACAAAATAAACAAAAGCACAGGGAAAACTCAAAGTGGAAGCAAAAACCAACGACAGAAAACAAGCACAATGAACCAAAAACCAATCCAACAGGGAGTTGTCACAAAGCAAAATATGCCAATTCAGCACAGCAGTTACCAAACATAAATAAAGGGAAAAAGGGTCATGGAGTTAATTAAATGTCCTGAGTTTAAGGTTTTTGCTGTTTAGGACTTTGGTCACTGACGATTCTACTAATGCTTGTTAGTTTACTCTCGTTTCATTTCCTGTTCCTTGGTTCTATTCCCCAGTTATTTTCTGGTTCCCGTGTCATGGCGACGTCTTCCTCACGTTTCCCGCCTCCTCCTCCGTCCCCTCTCAGTACTTTTCCTGGTCATCACCTGAGCTGGCCCTCCTCAGCGGCCTTCATGTGCCGACCACATTTCTCTGTGTGTGAGCTCTTTCTTCTCTCATGTCGTCAGTCCCTCGTTCCTCGCTGCTTCTCCCCGTTCCGTTGTTTTCTTGTCTTCCTCCTGGCTCCTTGTTCTCGGCTCCCTGGTTAATTGTCCCTCTTCTTTTTTTTTTTTTTTTGCTGTTCTTTGTCGTTCTCTTCCTCTCTCAGGATTAATTTAGCTTTTCGCCATCTGCCTCAGTTGAGCCTTTTGTTATTCGTTTTTTTATAAGAAATTACATTTTTCTCTGGTCCCCTGTTGTCCGTGTCCACGGTTTGGGTCTTTTTCCACGCACACCTTCCAACCTTGCAGAGATTCTCGGTTGAGAAGGTAAACTAGCTTCCCTAAACTGCTTTTGGCTGACCGTAGAGGATGTTGAGGGTGGAACGGTGTGGGAATGTCACGGCCCTTTCTTTTCCTGTATTGATCCTGTATTGATCTCCTGTGTAGTGCTGCTGCGTGTTACCCTGTTAGCTCGTCCCTCAGCGTTTCCACGCTGCCTCTTTCTCCCCATCACTCCACCACCGGCTGGCCAGTTCCGTTTCATGACCGCTGACCTATTTCACCCGACGTGTTCCTCTGGGTTTGATCCCTGCCGAACAATTCCTTTTTCACTTCCTTTTCGAGCAAAGCTACCTTACGTCGCTTCTAACAGGAGCAGGAAGGTGTGCAAGCTTTACGTGGCCTTGCTTGAGTGTAGCTGACTGCCCAGATTGTGTCTGTCACACCGTCGGTCAGCTCAGGGGCTCAGCTGCTCGGACGCTCGGCCCTCCCGGCGTATGGACACTTCCCCCCCGCAGGCCTGCCATTTAGGATGATTGAAGATGTGCAACTTCTCACTGGGGTGGCGCCCTCAAAGGCCCTGCTGTTGGAGCATTGTGGTTCGTTTACTACTAGGGAACATTTGTGTACCTTTCAGCACCTTTAAAAGTACCACTCTCCACCATGGAGTCCAGTTATTATCCATATAAGTTGCACAAGCTGAGAAAGTATTCCATGAGACATGGATGAACTCCTGTTTTTTAAAGTGTGTGGTACCAGTAAGCAGGCTTCACCTGTCACCTCATCCGATTGTGATGTCACCGACCCTTTTTCCACTTTCTCCGACTCAGCTCTGCATGACTCTGTTTAAGTCGTTTCCCATTGCAAGTGAGGGTCACCTCGTCTTGTGTTTCTGATCCGATTGATAACAAAAAACAAATGAAGTCGTTTGGGGCGTCAGAGGTCAGGGAAGTCATTTTACAGCTCCACAAATAGCTGTCAGTGTGCCCCCCCCCCCCCCCCCCCCCCCAAGGCCGGTGCTGTAAAAAACATAATGTAGGTTTGAAGCCTGCGGCCAAATTCGAGCTGAAGATTGAGTGACAGAGACGGAGGGAGGAGAGTGAAACTGTCTTAAGGAAGATGGGATTTGGAGTGATGGAGTATCCTGATGGCTGATAACAGACCAGAGGAGAGAGGGTAAAAGGAGAAACACTCATAATTTCTCTCTCTCTTTTTTTTTTTTTACAGCTCCTTCCCGTCCTGTCACTGTTTATTTCCAGCAAATTACTCTCCTTGCGTTCTCCCTCTGTCTAGCTCTGCTCCGAGTCCCTCTGTTTGTTCCCACTGTGTAATCTCTTTGTAATTCCTTTTTTTTCTCCGTCTATCTGCCTCCTTCTCTGTTCTCTCTCCGGTTTCAGCGACCCACAAAATGGGCCCCGAGCTTATCTCATTTCCCAGTACGCTCGGGGACCCATTGTCAGTCACCTGGGCACATCAACATATCTCTCACGTGTTACACATGCAGTCACCGCTCAGCGACTTTGCCGAGTGACATTTTCAACAAGCATTATGTCGAGAGGCTCAGAGATTAACCGCTGGCACACCGATTGTAATGGTTAAGATGCAATTACGTTCCAGGGCTAGACTAAATGTACCGTGAGTTTCTTGGGTTACTGATTCTATTTTTTTTTTTTCAAATCTGTATTTTTCTGGGTCAATGTCAGGATAAGCGCGTCCAGACGGATCCTTGTAGTTACAGCGTCTGGCCACAGGGGTCTCAAAAAGGTGGAAGGTTCCTGGTAGAGTTCCTTGGTAAAAACACAAAATGGCTCCAGCAATCGTCATGCCAACCCATTTATTTTTTGAAGAGTTCTCCAAGACTGCAAAATGATTTTTAGAGAATACAAAAAAAAAAATTAATGATGTAGTTGGGGCCTATCGCTAGGGTTCAAAAGTTAATTTCTGGTAAAATGGATTTCAAAAAGGTCAAAAGTTGACTTTGATCCCAGCTTTTGCAACTAATTCTTTGTCACTGCTTTTGGATGCATGTGTTCAGGACAACATTAAGATAATAATCAAGATAAAAGATTAAGATTTTACATTAAGAGTCCTGCTAAATGTATAGATGGGAATCGGTTGAGTGCTTTTGTGAGAACTGGGTAGTTTAGTGGAATCAGTATAGATCCGAATGCTCCTGTTTCTGAAGTGTGTTGAGAAGTGTAAGTCGGGGTAAAGGAAAAGGCAAAGGGATGATCAAAGGCTGTGGCTGCTTAATGCTTCACCCGAGGCAGTTCAGACAAATCTAAACTTTGAACTGATCAAAGTGTCTCGCAGAAGCTGCCGCCATTGTTTCCCCCCGCTGTCGCATTAAAAGATGCAACACAAAAGACGGGCCAGCTCTGCAGGAATAGCTTAGTGTGCGCACGGCTGCTGTCGGCTGAGACGGAAATACACCGACGGTATGCGATGTGCAAATTCAGGTGTTGAGTTCTTCAAAATGAACCACATGGGACCAAAAATGAGACACAAACCGGGTCCCTGAATGCAAAGATGAGGGTTGTAGGTAGCACATCGCGTCCACGTGAGCTGACCACAGGAGCTTTTCTGGGCTTTGACTTTCAATGATGATATTTTAATGCGTTCTGCTAAATATAACCCCTCTCATGGAGGGGGGGGGGGGGGGGGGGGGGGGGGGAGGGAAGGGCATGGAAGTCGGGAGGTTGGTACAGAGGCAGGCAGATGGAGAGGGAAAAGAGGGAGGGTGCGTTTTTCTCCCTTCATCTCAAGGCAGCGGAGGGCATAAGATGAGACAAGAAAGAGGGAATTTAGTGCTGTGATTCAGGAAAGCAAAGAGCGACTCCTCTAAGTCATTATTGATGTGAAGGTGCTGGATGCCAAATGTCTGCTGGCAAGCTGAAGAGAGACAGCTGAAAGTCAGGAGGGAGGCAGGCAGGTGAGGAGAGAACTAATGATTTAGAGACCCGGGAAGGCAGCACTCAGATCCCATTTCACCTTACCCTGATCACAGCTTTGCAGAGGTCACAAATCATTACACAGGCTTAGGCGCTTTTTGTCGGAATATAACACATAGCTCTGTTTCCGTCTTCTTCATTTCTGCTCTCAACATAATCAGAAAAGGTACCGATGGTGTCAGTAGACATCAGGGGAGAGTGAGGACATGAGTAATGGCCCAAAAAGGATCGTGGACGTCATCACGTCTTTATTTGTCTGATCAGGTGAGCTTCAGGTATGCATGCGATGACTTACACAAACTGGTTTTTCCTCTGATCTGATTGGTTTGCTCCAGAGGCCCCAGAAAATTAATCTGATGCTACATTAGTTAATGCATCTAAATGCAGGGTGAGTTATTGCCATGTTTCCTAGTTTTTGTGCCTTTTCAAATGGAACAGAAACTAAAAATACAATAAAGAGAACGGGGTGTAACAGTCATTGAGACGTAGAAAACATGACTCATGTCCAGTGACGATAAGGAAAAAACAGATCTTTGAAGAAGAAAATATTCTCAGTTCTTTGAAATCCCGTCAGAAAGGCCCTCTTTAAGGGTTTAACTTAGTCATTTTGCGTGGTTACAACTTTTGAAACCGGATTTTCTGTCAAGAGCTCACTAAAGAACTTCAGAAAAACACTAAATGCTCAATAAATGAACACTGAAATCTTATTGAGAGCGGCCTGTCTCGCTGCTGTGAAGTCTGGCCGGACGGCCGTGAGTCGGGGCACCAACTCCATCCAGATGACCTCATTTTCCAAAGCGATTTACAGGTGAAGGGTTACGGGAAACACGGCCGAACACGACTTAACTTGATTATCTGTGCCCGGGTGAGGTTTTTGACTTCAGATTGGGGCGACTTTGCACTCGCTGTCAAAGAGGCAGCGCGGCGCCACTTCTAATCTGGGCCTGTTTCCTGCCCAGATTTGGAGGCTAACAGGAAATTCAAAGAATAGGTGAATGAGGAGCTTTATTATCATCAGACGGCACGTTTTTGCAATTTAGCCGAGTGCTCTTAGTTTAAAGATATCATGGGGATATTCGGGATCTTTGAAGAAGTAGAATGGGAGGGTTACGTTCTGCTTGGGGGGGGGTTTACATGGAAGATCTGTCACTGATCAAATGAATTTGACTGGTTTCTGGAAAAGCTCTAATCCTCTCTTTTACTTTGGTTTGTGTATTTCATCTCCCACACGCTGCTTTGTGTATGACTGTATGATATATCATTTGTTCCCTAAATTGGATGGTGTATTGATCTCTGCTCCAAAGAGCCATGGGGATTTGTCTGGGCTGGAGCCAGGAGGAGGTAAAGAGGATTGAGAAACGGGGTTTTGATCTTGCATGTTGCTTGAAAGCTATTTTCAATTTTTCACGAACGAACAGTTTAATCACTAAAAACTATGGACTGGCTGAGCTTCTTTTTTTTTTTTTCTCCCCCTTTAAATCGCGGTCAGAATGCTAATTCTCATCGGGGCCCCTTTTTTCTTTCGAACAGACTCAGCTCTTAGCGAGATGTTGAGAAGCTTCCTCTGAGACTGGGCTTTTTTTTTACATCACTGGATCACATTATTTCCGCCGCTTTGTCAGCCACACTTTCATACTCAGAGCCCTCTGATCTACCACATCCCAGAGGTTGTTTTTTTTTTTCCCCCAGTCTGGATCCAGATCCGGCTGAGATTGGCTGAGCCTCGGACATCATCTGAACTCATCGCTGTGCTCGTGAAATCAGTTTGTTTTGCGGCGGAGCGTGTAATCACGCTATGGAAGCGAACATGAGGGGACGCGGAACTGCGTGGCGATTAGGAAGGGAAGGCCACATGATGAGCCGCTCTGACCGGAACCCCAGACACGCTGTTGTTGTAATGATCTCATGAGATCAGCGGTGCCAGAGACGCTCAGTTCTGCCTGTCTGCCACCAAACAGCCCGCACATTCTCAACCGTTATCGGGCCCACTGGGAACATTAACCGAGGCTCCCGGTGCTCTCATCCCGTTACGGTGCTTTAAATACTTTTCTGGAGAGCATCCCATCTGCTGCTCAGATGCGAAATCGCCGTCAAAGAGTCCTTAAAATTTGAAAGGACACTCACTGAGACTCTTGGAAGCGTAAAGTTTTCAAAACGGGTGTCATCGGGAGGGGGGGGGGGCATCACAAGAAATCTTTTTTTTTTTCCATTTGAAGTTTAGCCTGCCAATCAAAATCAATGAAGTAGAACATATGCGGCTCCTTTCCCGTCAAAAAATAAACAAAATGTTACCAAAAACATGAGCCAATAATTAAACCTTAGTTACAATTTGATAATATGACGCTGGCCTCTATAAAGATCCTCATCCAAGCGTCAGCCTCCAGCTATAAAAAGCTAAAATGGAGGATGATTACCTGCAGAAATACAACCTGTGTGGATTGGATAGATGGGAGTCTTATCTCTATGTTAACTGGACACAACCCTGCTAAACGTTTGCAAATAAGAGCTAAAGGTGTGTTTTTCTGCGTGTTTGTGTGTTGCCTGGCTTTTGCTCACTGGGGAGGCTTTGACATTCAGCAGCGTCATCCTGTCAGCTCGCTCCGGCTCATTCCCCCGTTCACGGGGAGGAGGCTCAGCTGTGGCCATGCCGGGCCGTCCAGGGGAAAACGGTCTCAGAGCCGGACCTCTTAAGGCTCCGTAACAGCTGCCAGTCGCTAAGTAGGAGGGTTAAAAACAGGCTGGGGGGGGGGTATATTTATGTGTCAGAAGCAGGAGCCGGATGTGGAAATGCCGACTGTATCTTCTGCTGTGTAATGCACCAAGCTGCCGGCCCTGCTGCTCTCCGCCGTGTCTGGAAGCGCTCATGTTTTGGCTGCATACTGATTCATCTTCTTCTGCGTTTGTGTGTGTGTGTGTTTGTGTGTGTGTGCCACCTCAGATGATGTGCTGGCGAGGGATGCCGGCGAGTGCGTGATCTGTCTGGAGGAACTGCAGCAAGGGGACACCATAGCCAGACTGCCGTGCCTCTGCATCTACCACAAAAGGTGACTGACGCCCTCACGGCCCCCGCGGATCCGCATGGCTGCCGGCCTCATCCCGGCGGGCTCCTTTCACAGGCTAAAGGACGGATGACGTTAAGGTCATTCATCGAGTGTCTTTGGGTAACAAAGGTGCCTCGAGTAGAATTTAAAAAGCCTCCATTAGCTTGAGACAATCCGCAAAAAAAAAACAAATGAGGGCTCGTTGCCGCAATGGTCATTAGGAACTGTGACATCATCAAAGGGATGAAATAGCTTTTATAAATCAGGAAAAACTCCCTCAAGTTTTCTTCCCAAACAGTAGACACTCACACCCGACCTCGCAGGCGTTCATTTTATTTGATTATTGGCCACATATTTGGTTGAACCACATTGCTACCTGCAATTTAAATGAGTTAACTTTGGTCCAGCTCAACATTTATCCTCACAAACATGATTCTGAATACCGGACTGGGGCTTTGAAATTAATTGACTGATTTCAAATTGATTGAGCATTCATTGTATATTTTCCGGTGACTTTTGCCGATGGTCATCTGTGTGTGTGTGTGTGTGTTTCTGCAGCTGTATAGACTCGTGGTTTGAGATCAATCGGTCCTGCCCTGAACACCCCTCTGACTGACTGAGCTCCTGGCCCGTTCTGAATATCGTTCAAGGTGAGAAACACAAACCCGAACACACCCAGATTATCGATAGCTGCTGGAGAAAGCTGCTTTTTGCTCTGGGGTGCAGCGGCTGACTCAACCGAAGCACTTCAGCCGTCATGCTATAAAGCAAATTTGGTGAAAACTTGCATCAGGTTTGTCTCCTGGTGGCGATTTTTTTTTTTTTCCGGCGAATAAACATGGCTTCTTGCCAGAAAACAAGACAAAAAAAAAGGTTGTTGGCGCAGGTTTTCACATAGCTGTGAGGAAACAAGCTATCCTGGGCTCCAGGTTTTTTTTTTTCAGATTGGAAACAATGGATTTGTGCTGGCCAAGTTTCATCTCTGGATGCAGAGCAGCTGATTGTTTGTGTGATCGTCATGCCAGAAACACATTTGCCAGGCCAGAATGTATTTAAAAAACAGCATTTTTATTTTCCACAATAAGCAACAAGTGTTTTTCCTTTTTCAAGAAATAATTTCTTCTGCGTTTGAAATAAACGAAAATTGTGAATGTAAAATGTAAATTTTAGTATCATCCATTCTAAAAGCATAAAACCTGTATAACTTTATATAATAACCCCTTATAATTTAATATAACTTTTTCTCTTTGTGAAGAAAACCTCTAATAACTTTATCTGTAAGTGGTCATTACTTGCATGTCTGTGTGTCAAGCTAAACATCTTGGTAGAACTGATCCTTTTGGCTTTTTCGACTTTATACGATTACAAACTTAAGCAATTTTTGAAAGCGAAAGCCGACAAAAGGATCCTGTGTTTATACGATGGGCTGTGCAAAGTGTCCGAGCCCTCCCTTTTCTTTCATTTAGAGGTGCTACGCTACTGTGATGCTACTCAGTTGTGACACCAGAGACAAGTTGCAGTCCAACATTCAAGGTTCATCCGTCAGACAGGGATCAAATACAGGCAGCCAACAGGGCCAATACAAAAGGGAAGGAGCAGACAGGTCAGGGCACATAAAACAGAGGAGGGACAGACTACTCGACTACTGAGCAAGCAGAAATCATCCAGCTGACGCAGGGGAGTCACAGTCATATAAGACAGTTCAGTTACGTGATTTTATGAATCTCATAATTGAATCTTGAGGAAATCGTCCAGCTTATTAGGTACAAAGGACAGCTGACATCAAATCCGGTCCAATTTTTAATAGAAATCCTCGCGAGTTGGATCGAGATCTAGTCTGATTTCCAAATGTTGGCCTCTTTTATAATAGAACCTGATGGAAATATTGGGCCGCAGAGTTGAATTTATGTTTGCCTTCAATCTAATGAACTTCTTGATCGTCTTTAATCGTTCTCGTCTGTCTCGTGTCCATCCCCAGGACACGTCGGGGTCCTGCCGTGGATATGTGGACACAGGCCGAACCAAATCCGAGGAAACAATCAAAGCGATCATCACATAATTATCCCGACAGAATCCATCGTCCTAACAAACCAGATAATTATTCCTTGTGAACTGAACCAAAAAAAAAGAAAAAAGAAGAAGCGTGACCGTCTAACCGCCATCCGTCAGAGGGCCTCTGCTCAGATCTTCGTTTGACATCTGCTGAAGATACTGCTTACGGCCCTGACCTCCCTCTTCCTTCCCTTCACACCTCTTCAGGCAAACAGAGTCCCTTAAAGGCTTTCATTCAACTGCCCCCCCCACCCAACCCCCCTCCCACCCCCCAGCAGCGTTCAGGTCTTAGCCTGGACACAGGCTGAGACACAGGCCTGTCTGTCCCCTTGTGTCCAGCCCTCCCATGGCCTTAACTGGGAAGAGGAGAGGAAGCTGAGTGGAAGGAGAAAAAAAAAACACATGAAGAAGAAAGAAGGAGCGGTGAATAAAAGGCGAATGGAGAAACTTCCCTCTGAGAAGCAGACTTGTACATTATTCAGAGGGCCTCTCACCTCACTCAGCAGGACTCCGAGCTGGTGATGATCTCCCAGTGTGCTCCTCTCTCATAGGTCCTGCCTCGGCTCTGCACCCTCCCTCCCCAGTTCCGCTCCAGACATTTCAATCGAAAAAGTACCCGCAATGCTTTTTAGATCTGGGGAGATTAGGAGAGGGTCTGCCGTCAGACTGGGCTTGTCTTGTTTGTATGGTGTAATCGTGGACGGGGGTGGGTGTGGGTGTGGGGGTGGGGGGGGGGGTATAATCTAAATGGGGAGAGGAGCAGGGGGGAGGAAGGGGGGAGGGAGGAGGCAACGTAGTTTACGCTCTTATTGTTAAATGTGTGTGTTTGGGATGCTCCAGTTTCAGGCTCCACCTGGTGTGTGTGTGTGCGTGTGTGTGTGTGTGTGTGTGTGTGTGTGTGTGTGTGTGTGTGTGTGTGGTGACGACATAGCTTTTACTGAAGCCTTGTGAGCGCGTGTGGACGTGTGTGTTTGAGGTGGCGTGATTGTAGTGGGCTGAGTGGGTCAGTGCCGTGTGTGTCTGTGTGTTGAAATGTTTACAGTGTAGAAGTCCGTGTCCCCCGCGTGTGCGACTGGCAGCCCACCCTTTACTTTGCTGAAGTTTACAGCCACAGAGACGCGACATGACACATTGTAAATGTCACATGGGACCTCTCTCTCAGTTCCTTTTCTCTATCAGATCTGCCAGATTTTTCATGTGATCATGATGAAGCACTTCTTCGAGAGAGCCTCAAGTGAGAGAGTGGATGTGAGTGCATGTCTCCATTCATATGACTTTTTGCATGGAAAGATCACTGAATGGACCCAAACAGTCCGGTGGCCCCCAGTGCAGAACCGCTGTTAAAGTCACCTCCGCCCAAAGGCCGAAGTGAGGCACGATGACTAAACACAACCACAATCAGGTTCAACATGCTTGACAAACACCTTCAAGAAAGCTCGGACACCAAAAGTAGCTGCAAAACGGCTACAGAAAGACTAAAATCACTCCAAGTTACCAAAGAAACCTTCTTTAAAGAACTACACAACTAAAACTTGACTCAAAGCCACCAAAAAGGCAACATCCACCACAGAGAGACTGAAAAACCACTAAATGTAGATTAAAAACAAAGCGACCCAAAACAAAACGATGCACAAAAAGACTAAATACAACTACGGCAACTCAGTCTACAACCTCAGACAAGTAACTATTAATTACTATCAACCAAAACGTTAATTTAGCTTCAACATCCAACCATCCATTACTGAACCGCTTATTTTCTAATGGGGTCTCGGGGGGACTGGTGCCTGTCCCAGTAGTCAGTGGGCGAGGTCACCCTGGACGGTCCACCAGTCCATCACAGGGCCACACAGAGACACACAAGGACCAACAACCACACACTCACTCCTAAGGGAAGTTTGGAGTGTCCAATCAACCTAACATGCAGGTTTTTAGACGGTGGGAGGAAGCCGGAGAACCCGGAGAGAACCCACCAGACACAGGGAGAACATGAAGACTCCACACAGAAATGTCCTGGTTCCCCCGGGGACTAGAACTCAGAACCCTCTGGCTGTGAGGCCATGGTGTTACCCACCACAGCACCGTGTCGTCCTAACTTTGACATAAATGACTGAAAACAGGTTAACGCGACCACAAATTATGACAAAAACCAACAATAAGATATAAAGCCTCAAAAAAACTACAGATTTATAGAAACTCCAAAAACAAGGTGACACAAAATGACACAAAACTGCTTATATAATTAAAAAAATCTTAAAATGAAATGTCAGAAACGTCCAAATGTCCCTTGACTCAAAACAATAAGTTGGGTCCAAATCATTTCAGATTTAAGAAACAACATCCAAATCACAACACTGAGACATATGTTATGACAAAGAATTAAATCTAAGAAAAAAAATTGAAATAGCTACAAAACAACTAAAATTAGATTAAAAAACACATAAATGACAATTAAACAATTCAAAGGGCAATCAAAAGAACCACAAATAGACTGGAAATGACGCCCTATAAGAGAGCGACAAAGAGACACAAACCCTGACACAATGACAAAAAAACATAGAATAAAAATGTAAAAACTGCCTCAAAACCACCATCAGGATGCATCACAATCACAAGTTTGTGGTTACTTTGTGTTTTGCTTTTGCATAGGAGGACATGGGGGATGATCTACGGGTTTAGTCCCATTTGCTCATTATCCATCCATGAGTGTGCGCGTGTGTTTGCGATCCAAATGCATCCTGTTGGTCTGCACTGCTGTCGGTCCCCGCTACGTGTTTCTGCTAGAACAGGCCCGGCTGTCTGCCCACTGGGGAGGCGCGACCCACTCAGAACCTCGAGAGGCATCTGTAGTTCCACTGTGGAGCCACTGAACGGGGGGCTTATTTATTCATTTGTTCATATTTAACAATATTTGTTTAATATCGGAAATCATGTGAGGTGTTGCTCACTCTTCAGAATGCCGAGAGCTGATGTGTGAAGACTACTACAAATCACCATACAAACAAACTACATTTACAAAAGCTACTGTAAACAAATGGTGGAATAAATTGTGCTAGATGACAGACTTATTTTGGGCTTTCTCTTTTGTGATACGACTTTGGCGTGTTTTTTGGCCCCCGCGCGGAGTCAAGGGTTGGTCTCCAAAGCAAAACACAACTCACACGGGCTAAACGCAAACAGGGTGTTATTTTAGGACTCGGCGTGAGGTGTCCACTTTCAGCCGGTTTCAGACAGTCGTTTCTGACATGAGCCAGAGTTCGTGCACTGCGAGGAGTGTGGAGCAAGAGTAGAAATAGGAACTAAAAAACAATAAATTAACGTCCAAGGTGCTCATTCTTTATATTTGATTCATTCTGGGACTTGAACCCATTCATTTCCATTATTGAATAACAGAAAAAATAACTCTCCCCTATCATTGGAAAGTAGATTTATTTAATTCAGTTCAGAAAGTTAAGTCGAGCCAATAATGCGACTGTAAAATATGTTTAATTTTATTTTCTCCAGTGGGAGAGTTTGCAACAGTAGAGTAAGCTAGGGCCTGTCTGAAAGGGGGTGACCTTTGACCCTCAAAGTTGTTAGGGAAAAAAAGAACAAACGCCTCACTACAATAGATTAATAAATGAATAAACTAATTAGCCATACAACACCAAAGCCATGTGGCTGCTCATTATAAACTGTTCAATCTTGATCCGTGTTCAGACCTGTTATTTAGACCATTAAAAATAAGTTGTTTTTGTCTCTTCTCCAGCTCCAGTAAAGACCCCAGATTTTGTTCCTTTTCAGAAACAAATGTCCACTCTTAGACCTCTGCCTTTAAAGGCTTTTAAAAGTCAAATTGTTTATATAAAGGCATTTTTAATTAAACCCAGCTGAAATGGTGTATCAAAAGCCACTTTTCTGGAGATTTCTGGAGCTTGCCAGAGGACAGAATTTAGAGTTTGTCGAAAATTGGTTTAATTTTTATATGGAGAGAAAAGCTGCTTGTAGATTTGCACCAACACAACATGAGCAGCTCAAGTTGTAAAACTGTTTTAAGATAAGTAAAACTGACAAAGATTTTCTGCAAACTTTGTAAATGATGAAACACTTTTAAAGTATTTTTTAAGGGAACTTATTTAGAACAGCTTGCAAGGTGATGTAAGCTGGTTTCGTGAGTGTTAAACTCATTAATGTGGTGAGTTCAGGCATCTAAAGAGCTACTTTAGTTTAAATTAAATCTATTCATAAGTCCACAATGAAGACTATAACACGGTAATACCCCTACATGGTGTCCATGACCAATGGCAGAAATGTATGCAATTAGTCGATTTTAACCGCATGAATTCCGTGTCATATTCAGCTGAACGCTCCTTCCTGCTGCCATCATGTGACAACAGCTGATGCAGCTTTAATGAGGTTTGAAAGTTATGTCAGCCAACAGGGGTTTTCTGTTTCTGTCAAAGCTCTCATCATATCTCCCCGTGCCTGTGAGCACAGCGTCAAATAAGGAGTAAGAGGCCTGCTCATGCTGAGGTCAGCCCATATTCAGACAAGAGGGCAGCGTTAACGTTAACACCGTAATGCCTCATATCATCAGGCCCCGAGCAGCCGAACAATAGCGTCTCCCACCACTGCCCGTTTTGGCCCGCTGCTGATCTCATTACAGAACGACCTGCTCATCAGCCTGCTTTGTGCAGTGAAACATTTCTCAGAATGCTGCCACAAAAAGCCCACTGTCCCCTCTGCTACCCAGCTCAAACAGTACCACCATTAACTGCTGCCTCGCGTCATCTGACTCCTTCGGAGATTTAGTTCATGACTAATTTTACTTTGCAAGGATGTGAATGGATGCTGTTCTCCGAAAATCCACAAACATGTCTGATGACTGATGTCCCGTCTATGGGCTGAGTATTAATCAGGACATATAAAGGAATCCATAATGTCAAAATAAGAAAAGTGACTGATCTATGCTTTCTGTTATTGAGGTTTTTTTTAAATCATGATATCCTGACCGATGGGGAAACAGAAAATTACCTCCTGGACCTGCTGTCATTTCTCATTTATCAAATGGTGAAGTAATCATTAGTGACATAAGGAAGGTTAATGAGACGGGTACGGATAGTCAAATATCTACTTTCATATTCCAAGTTTATGAAATAAATGTCAAGTTATATTTGTTTGTATGTCCACGGATGTATGGCTGACAAACATTACACTCAGATAAAAACGATACACTTTGTATTTTAAAACAGTTATAATCTGACATCTAATGGTCAAAAATATAATTACATGAGATTTTGTTATTGTAACAAGGGCGGAAATGCATTTCTTTCTCTATTAACCAATGGAATGCGATTAAATTGTTTTACTCGTCCATAAAAAAGTATTATAAACCCTATAATATCAGTTTTAGATTTTGAGTATAATCTAAAATATGTTTTAACTCAATCAAAAAACACAACTAAAACATTTAATTTTTAAAATAGATGTTGTGCACGATTCAGAAGCGAAGTGAATCGATTGATCTGGTCTGGACATGGTCGTAGCGTTCTGATTGGCCTATATATTTTGGCGCCAAAACCGGAACTAAAACAGGAAGTAGAAAAACTGTGGGAAGAAATCTGGTCGCTTTGTTGTGATCATTGGCTAATCTTATCTGTTTGGGTTTATTTACGCACACATGGACACGCAGTCTTACCTTCCCGTGCCTCCAGGAGTGGGAATGGAGGAGAACTTTCTGTCTCTTGACGATATTTTGCTCTCTCATGAGAGACTGCCAGTCCGGACAGAGTGCGTTTTTCCCCGTCTTGGCTTTCTGGAGAAGTCGAGCGATTCACAGGACATCCCGGAGGTCAGTGCAGTTACTTAATAAAAGTGTAATTTATAACTGTGTGAAGGGGCATTTACCCAAATAAATGCCAGATGGAGTTTTTATGTACAACTTAACGTCATGCCAGACTTCATTCATTATTTTGTATTTATATTGTGCTCTCTGTGTTGAGGAAATTTGTTATACCAGGGACAGTTATTAATGAGTTTCAAGTATGAACACCACTCTCTAAGAAATTCGGCATGACTTTCAGTGTCAAACATCCAAAGATATCACAGTTAAATGAGAATTACCTGCACAGTAGCTGCTAGCATCCGGACGTCAGGTAGGAGCTGTTTGGGCTGTTTTCTATAGGCAGATTTGCAGATTTTAAATCTGTCATGTTTTTGAGGACGCAGAAGCCAATCAAGGAGCCCATCCAAGTATGTGTGAAGATTATGAAAAGTAGTTTACAAACCTCTTGTGACCTGCTAAATTGTTGGAAACTAATCTTATTGAATCATTTTCCTCTTTTGAACACATTCATCACATTTTTATTATCATTTAAACCTGAACTTGTAGTCTCATGTGACAAACTCTTCAATGCTATTTACTTTTGATTGTGTGCATAATCATCAAAATTCTTATGGTCTCAGAGAGCGGCCCTTGCTAACCTTTTTTTTAAACTAATTTCTTTGATCTAAGGGCTCAAAAATGGAGCTCCCTCTGTGGTTGTGTAAAGGTCTGTACGAGAGGAAGAGGAGGGTGCTGTCTGTGGAGCTTCCCAAAGTGTACAGAGAGGGCTGGAGGACCGTGTTCACTGCCGATCCAAACGTGGTGGACTTGCATAAGATGGGGCCTTACTACTACGGCCTGGGATCACAGATGCTCCACTTTGACAGTCCAGAGAATCCAGACATCGCGCAGGCTCTGCTGCAGGTACAAAAGTGTCTCTCATGATAGTTTAGACTGAGAAAAGACACCGGGAAAAATGTTAAAATAGATATTTATGCCTCATGACTTGCATGCAGCAGAAACATTTTCTTTAAAGCAAACTGTTAAGCCAATTTTCCCTGAATGTGCACAAAAAAGCCAGATGCATTAAGTCAAACTCAAAAAAGAAAAATGTTGCTTTTCACACTTAGTTTTTGGCTGTTGATTTTAGAAAATAATATTAAGACTTAATGAACTGTTTGAGATCCCAGACGCAGCTCAGATGGGACGTGCAAATGTTCATCTGGTGTCCACCAGAGGCCGCCGCGAGCTCAGCAAATGGCCTGCTGGTCGTCAGGGGCAACTGTTGCCAGGCAGCAGGCAGACGGAGTTTAATCTCTATTGTCTGAGCACACGTCCTCATTTCATCAGCCAGTGTTTTTACTTAGTGTTTAAACTGCGATCGAGGACCAAATGAGCCAAAACAGACTGAAACAACAGACCCAAGATGTCTGTACAGTTATTTTCTTGGCGGGTGACCCATTTTAACATGGTTTTATTGAATTATTCAGGCATATTTGAACATGTTCAGAGTCAGTTTAATGCAGTGGGTGCTGCCTTTGTACTCTGTGGTTATATTTTGCTGTTTAGAGCAGCTTTGTCTTGAGTTTATGGCGTTGTGTACTATAAATTGAATGAGTTGGTGTCTGATTTTTAAAAACGGAGCCACTGAACTAATCTCTCTCTTCGCTCTGGCCCCAGACGTTCATCGGCCGGTTCAGGCGGACCATGGACTCGTCCCAGAACGCCTACAACGAGGACACGTCGGCCCTGGTGGAGCGCCTGGACTCCCTGGAGAGGACTCTGTTCAGGTCGGGCCAGAGCGGGCTGAACGGCTTCCAGAGCTGGGAGAAGGGTCAGGCCTCGCAGCTCACCGCCTCCAGCCTTGTCCTCAACTACCGCAAGAGGAAGATCACCGACGTTCAGCACTGACTCAGAGGTGAACACCAGGAGACTGACTCTGTTCATGGAGCGTTCCGGTTTATTCTCATCTGCTCGATGAGTTCATTTAATATATTTTGTATTCGTAGTTCGGGGAATTAAAGGGATCGGCCGGTAAATAAATCGGGAAAAAAACTGAAGGTGTTTTGCTTCTTGCAGCCCCTGCTGCTGGTTCACAGATCCAGAAACATCTCTGTGGCTCCTTCCCTCTCATCTCAGCGTGGAGCTGATTTCTAAGTCTGCCAGGATGCTTCCAAACCTGATGCATAGACTTCCTGACTGTCAAAGAAGGGCAGCCCACTCTAAGCCCCCCTCAGGTTTTTTTTTCTCAAAGATGAAAACACCCCGTTTAAAAAACGAAACACAGACTCCTGTTGGCTTCACTGCAGTGGTCGGGTTGGTTTTCAGGACGACGGGCGGGTTTCGATCGATGCTCCAACAGTATCGGGTTACCACCGCCCCTTCCCCTCAGCTCCACGTCCCGCCGGCATGTCGGTCAGATGATTTCTGGTTCAGTATGTTGCTGAAAGAGGGAATGCAGCAGGAGGGTTCCCGGTTCCTCCCCCACACACACAACACACATACACACACACACTCCGTCCTGCCCATAGACGTGAGTGTGTGTGGTTGTTTCCGTGCGACCTGAGCATGGGGGGACCCTGAAAGCTGAGATGGGCTCCAGCCCTCCTGCTAACATCCTTAGAGTGAGGTTTCCTAAATCCTGTCTTCTAGGATTTCAAAAGTCTTACATTTCTGGAAACTTGCATAAATTTAGCATATGTGTCCACCCCTCGTTTTTTTTTTTTTTCCTTCCTTCACACCAGAAATCGGCCCTCTGATGGATGTCGGAGGTCTGCCCACAGATTGGGGTCACTTCAAAACGCCAACTGTTGTGGAGAATCAGGGACGGCCACCTGCCGGGCTCCAAATGCCGGCAGATTTATCAGCGCCGAACACACACACACACACACACACACACACACACACCACAGCCGCTTATGTTACTCTCAACTCAGGTTTGACCACGTCGGTCCCGACCGATCCGTACATTTCTCTGCTGATCAATCGTGAACCATGAAGTTTAAGCAGAAGTGTGAGTGTCTGCCATCGTCCGGAGTCCAAACGTCAGCGTTCCCACAGTAACGATGGCAGACAGCGGCGCACCGTGTGATCTCATTTACTGCTCGTTGCCCGTTCCTCCTGCTGTTTCCAGCTGCTGGTTCGGAGCACATCTGCTCCTTCTGGCTGCGATGCGGCCCAGATGTGGCCCAGCTGTGACGGAGCTCGGCGAGCACCAAACGGCAGGAAACCAAACGTGAATTTCAGGGTCGGATACTCAAAATGTGGGGGAATTAGTTTCTAAGATGACGTAAATGCCCTTAATAATGTCACAGTGGATGTTCAACACCAGTGCTGGGAATTTCAAACCGATCAGACACTCGTAGGTGTCTGGGTGTCACGTGCTGACCCCTGCTGCCCGCCCCCTCCTGGGCGCACTGACCCACACCTCCTCCAGCCTTCTGCCTTCTGTTGGCCCGGACAGGCCGAACCCAGTCCTGCTGCTGCCCCCCCAGCCCTGTGAGGACAGCCCTGTGCCCCCTCCACACGGGTCAGAGGATGGAGAGGAGGGGAAGGTCAGCGGGGATGTAGATATTGACGTTTTCCTCCAGGCTGTATCTATTGACCCTGACAGAGAAAAGCAGACAAAAGGCATTCGTATCACACCTCAAAAAAGATGTCATCTGTGCTCTGCGCTCCGGTTGATTTCTCTTCTTTTGGGTTGGAGATAAAGATAATTTTCCAAAGCATGCCTGCATTAGTAATGTTTGTAATCCTTTAAACTGAGGCACATATTTTGTGTAATCTCTAGAGAAAATTTTAGACGACTTTCATCAAAGTGCCGAAAAAGTCAGACAAAGTCGAGAACAATTGTCACCTTTTGCTTCCAGAGTCCTTATTATGCTTCCAGTGTTAGATCTCAATGTTAAGTGTTTTCTTACATGATATAAATTTTTCCTGTGTTTGTTTTGTTTCTTTTTTTTGTAAATCCCGGTGCCTTTTTGTTGCTCCACTGTGTCTGTACAATTAGCCCTCGGGGACGAATAAAGTTTTATTGAACTGAATGGAATTGCAGAAAATGATGTGATACAGTTTTTAAAGGGCCTTCACAAGTAATTTAAAAGTAATCACTGCAGATGGATAAACTGCAGCCTCTTCAAATGGAAACCACACAGATGGCAGGTGTGTCGCAGTTCCAGTGGAGGTAAAAAACATCTGTCTGCTCGACCCAGAAGGAAGAAAGCATCTGTCACACTATAGGCGTTGTGCAGTGGCTGAAAACTCCCCACCAGTATCCACTTAGGCCGTCAGCGTCTGAGAGGAATGAGAGTTTTTCTGTACAACAACAAGGTTTTAAGAATTGGAGGAGAAACGGACTGCGGCCCATCGCATATCCCTGAGATTTGTCCTGAGACCTGTTACTCCCTTATAAGCCAGTCGTAGGAGCCACAATAACTGAGTTCAGGTTAACTGTGACCAGATGTAAGAGATCTGTTCTCTCTTACATCTGCCCTCCTCTCTGGTTTTTTGGGCTTTCCCTTCCACTGTGATTTAAAACAATCAACACAATTGAACTAAAACGAGAGATTAAATGTTTAATCTAATTGAGTCCCATCCCTTAAAAAGCCTTTTGTGACCACTTTAAACCAAGCAATCCAGGTCACAGGAGCGCGGTGCGGCGCTCCGGCTCATCTCTGGAAGAGCCTTACGTCATGATTTTTGGGATAAATAGAGAAAAACTTGAGTACGTTTAGAACCCTCAATGTATTTAAAAAATTGCTTGAAAGGATCTGCTTCCCCAGCGTCCTCAGATCTCTTCCCTCTGGAGGAGGGATTAAACCATCCATCCAGAGACGGTTTAACTCCTCCACCTGAAACAGACTCGTGGCTCTAAACAGCAGCAGCAAAGATCTTCAACAACTTAGTAAGAATTTTTTTATCTTTATCAGAGAGTTGTGGGCGTACGCATTCCTGTGCGTGGCAGATCCATTACAGGCCTTTCATTTGCGTCTCACTGCTGATCCTGGTGGGAAAACCGAGCCAAAGGTATATCAAAAGCAAAGGGCAGGCTGAGGGCGAGTGTCTAGGAAGCTGACACGCCAGACGTTCAGGCTCCCTCTGGCTTCTGTCTTCTTTAAGGGCCTCTGACGTTTGGCATTTCTCGGGAAACCGATTGTATACATGACAAAATGCTGAGAGGACCCCGAGGCTTTCTCTTAGTGGCTTTGTCTGCCATTCCTTACATGCAGAACCTGAGCTGTATCGGCGTTTATACTCCATTATGTCACTCCACTCACCGCTTAGCTCCGAGTCTGAGCCGTTCTTGCAGTTACAGGGCTGACAGGTGTGTGCGTTCTGAATTTTGTCAGTGTAAAATGATGGTAAACATAAACACAAATATATTCACTTACAAAATAATCCCATGTCAACAAGAAGAATAGAAGTGCTGGAGAGAAGAAACCTACAGTTCATCCCTACTTATGACATGACAACCATAAAGACCTACATCAAAGGGATGTCTGGACATTTTTTCAGATTGTTTAATGGAATTCTAATGTTTTTTACAAAGATTTCATCTAAGTGTTAAGTGTTTTTCAGTCAAAGCTGTCAGACCAACAAAGAAAATGTACAAGATTACCTGGAATACTGATATGGCATAAAACCAGGATAAGTATAAATATCCTATATATAGAGAAAACATGAAGCACGATGCCACATAAACCAGTAGAGAGGTACAAATACATTGGTAGGATTCATATAATCATCAAATAGAAAAAAACAGATTAAGCAAAAGTGCTACATTGAGGATATGAATAATAAATAAAGATGCAAAAAAAAACAACCTGTGCAGCCCTGAACTGGACATGGTTGAACCACACTCCACACTCTTTTGACCCGGCCTTTACCGAATTTTCCCACATTATGCTCACCAGTTCCCCATTAATGGTGCTAAACTCGGAAGATTCCACAACTTAAATGTTCTGATTAGTTTTCTGACAGGAAAATCTATAGCTGGTAATAATAATAATAATAAGTAATTGTGATAATCTTCGCAGCATGTGCATAAAAAGCATCAGCCGCGTGATGAGCAGCAGTGAAGTGGAGTGAGCTGTACCGAATCGTCTGAGTCTGCCGGATCTCCAACTCATTAACCCGAGTGATCCAGGAACCGACTGGTCCTAATCCCCACCGGTCCCGGCAGCGTGGGTGCAGAAACCAGGTAAAACCAAAACCAGACACTGTCCCCCACCAAACTAAGCCTCACGTTGTTCTTGTGGACCGGCTACTGCCAGCCCGAGCTCCACCACGTTCCAAACACGAGGACGAGGCCCCTGCTGTGCTCATACAGAGACCGAGAGCCGGGCACAGTCTTTGTGGTCCAGACAGGACCACCTCCCACAGGAAGTCCCAGGGAACACAGTGGTAATCTTTCTCCATGTCCATAAGATACAAGTAGACTGGGGGTCAGACTCCTGTGTTCCTCTTTACTCTACAAAAGTGGACCTGGTCGAAACTGGTCACATGGGAATCTGAAAACAAACTACTATAAACAAACTATAAACAAACTACTCAGTGAGTTGAAGAATGAATTAAGAAGCCGGTGTCTCTCTTTGTCTTGCAAACTAAATACGATTGGCCGTTTGTGTGTCATGTGCAAATTCAAACAATCATCGTGAGAAATGATTTCAAGTTCAAGAAACATCCCTACCGAGAAAAACAAAGACTTTGGAATACTTTGACTACGATAGGCACACAGCATTATTTTTTCATTTTGGCTTATTTGAGGGTGGCACGGTGGTTAGCACCATCGCCTCACAGCCAGAGGGTTCTGGGTTCCAGTCCCCGGGGGAACCAGGACCCTTCTGTGTGGGGTCTGCATGTTCTCCCTGTGTCTGGTGGGTTCTCTCCGGGTTCCTCCCACAGTCCAAAAACCTGCATGTTGATTGTACAAATTGCCCTTGTGAGTGTGTGTGGTTCTTGGTCCTTGTGTGTCTCTGTGTGGCCCAACGATGGACTGGTGGACCATCCAGGGTGACTATCCCATTGACCACTGGGATAGGCTCCAGTCCCCCTGCGACCCCATTAGGAAATAAGCAGTTACAAAAATGGATGGATGGCTTGTTTGAATTGATATAACCTGTCATTCTTTTTTTCTTCCAGTTTACCTCATCTTATCAAAATCCTCCATCTCCTCCCCTCTGAGAGGCGCCCCTCCCTGTTCGCTCCTTGAGCTCGTGTCCCAACGGAGCGGGGATGAAACAGACGAGACAGAAGACGGCAGGAGGTGAGCCGTGGCTCCAGAAGAGGAGGGAAAAAGGAGAAGAAAGAGTGCGGCGGCAGCCAGACACATCTCGCTGATGAGTTGTGAGGATTAGCCGTATCTCTGGCAACGCCCTGCTACGCTCTCCAAATGGAGTATTATCTCCCCTTCAAACCGTCCTCCCCCTGCGTAGGCACAGGAACGGCAACAGCTCGCACAAAGCCACGTTGTCAGGGATTCATTATCTGGAAACAGGTGGCTGACAGCGGGAGGAGAAATGTCAGCGATTCAGGCGCCTTGAATAAATACGCCTATTTTTCAGGGCTATTTTTGACCCTTAGGTCGAGTGTTTAAGATGGAGTGGACTGCCTCCTGAGTTTCACTTGGTTTTTTATCAACATCAGAGATCATATTTGGAAAGAAAGAAAGAATGAAAGAGGGGCTAAAGCTGGATTGATTATCAAGCGTATTCAAAAACCCAGTTCAGTTATTTTTCCTAACATCATGGAAACATGATCTCCTATAGATCACATGGACTTGGTATGCATCAACTGATTGATTAATAAAACAGTAATCAACTGAAATCAGCAGAGGGAGGCGCATCGACCCCTAAACCTGCACCCGTCTCTCCCCTCGCTGACCGCCATCCTGTTCCCGTTCGGTCCGCTGAGCTGGATTACTTTAGTGGGAGGAGGTGGAGCCGGGGCCAAACTTCTGTTTACAACCAGTTAGCCAGCAGGCAAAGAAATCAAATTGGGACGTGTTCCGTGTTTGTATTGATCTCATCTGGTCTATTTCAGGCCCACGACAGCAACGCCAGCATTACAGTCGCCTCAGTGAAGATAGAAATAAATAAATAACAACTTTTAGAATGAGCGGAGGAGTTATTTTGATGGGGAATGAATCCCAAGTGTACCTCTACAATCCAATTTTCTAGCTTCGAGCTGCAAAAATCAATTAGAATGTCTTTAAATCCACAAGGCTAGTTTGAGTGGGGCCCCTTAACCCCAGCGGCCGTCACAGAAATATTCAGAGTGGGTTTTTATCTTGTGAAGGAGTCGCCTTCGTGACTCACTCGAAGATGTCACCCCCCTGGCCAATCAGTGGGCAAACTTTAAGTAGATTTCTGCACTCCGGCCCAGAAGGGGGCAGTGTGACATAAACCAGGCGGCTTGGCCATGAAATGTGTTTTATTTCCTTTCTTTATGTATATATTGTCTATTCTGTAACTAATGAATCGAAATGAAAAATTAAAGTCCAAGCCTGCTTTTTATGTGTGTGTGTGTGTGTGTTTCTTTGTATAACTGGACAGTTAAACGTCTCTCTGGTAATACTCGTCCAAGGGCTGTAAGTAAGGCGTTGCTGGTTCACCTTACATAACAGTCCCATTTCATCACGGTCCGCCGTCTCCGCTGACCCGCGGGTTTGACGGGAGTCTTTGTGACGCCTGTCAGCAGACGTCAGACCAACCCCGGCGGTTGCAGACATGCCAGATAAGATGCTGCTGGCTGATGAGCCGATCTCCTCCCCGCACCTGCGCTGGCGTAAATCCTCCCTCTGCCTCCACAAACTAGCCTTTCGCCGTGTGTTTCGAATGTTCGTAGATCGGGAGCCGCTTCCACTAATCGGCTGGCGTTCCAGTGGTGGCGCTTTAGGCCATCGTCGCAGGATTGGGGCCTGTTGATGGACACGTGGAAAGATCGTAGAGATTGAGTCTGCGGCAGTCTGGTTACAGACCGGCAAGGGTTTCTAATGTCACCGAAGAGTGACCGACTAGAACAGTTAGTAGTCTAAGTTTAGTTTGCACACAAATTCTAAACAGTTTTGGCCTTTGAGAAGCGGCTCACAGTGAGCACACGGAGAAACCAAATAATCTCAAATCTCAAATAATCTGCTGGGTGAGAAGCTGGGAGGACGGCCATGTTCTCATGGATCAGTATCAGAGGTTCCACACTCTCCTTGTTTTGTGCTTTTTTCCTCTGGGTGGAGCAGCCTCTACCTGAGGGCCGTGCGTTCTTGGGTTTTGACCACATGGAAATGGAGGTGCTCGTGCCTGTTGTTTTTTCTCCACTCTGGCAGGATCTTTGATCCAAATGTCTTTGCTGAACCGACCGAAAACGCGAACACTTGTTGCCATCTTGACAACGGATTCACTTCAGAGGGCCGAAACGAAAATCAACCAGAAATCCAAGCCGTGGGTTCTCATCCCCTTCGGCTAAACTCGCAAGTCTCTAATGGACAGTTAAAAAAACAAAAAACGGACGTGTTTGAAGTACAAATGCCTCATTTATCTGATCTTACAAACAAACCTCCCCGTGTTAAAGATAGATCAGAAGTGTGTGATGTTGTTATCAGTATTTCCATCAGTTCTGGCCTGAGTTGTCCAAACATGGTCAGATCCCTCTCCGTCTTCGTTTGGGAGGGTACGACGATGTTTGCATGCCTACATGGTCATTTTCTGTTTCTACTGATATAGATGTTTTCCTTCAGGTGTAATGCACTCGCCTTCCTTGAAGGACGAGTGATCTCACTCGATGACATCCACCTTTCTTTGTTTTCTGAAAATCCTGGTCCTGGTGTCCTCCTCCCTCCTGGCTTCTGGGCGCTGTGATGCGATCCTGGGTGTGCTGCATCATCGCCGGGGCCACGTGCTCAATGTTTATCATCAGGAAGGGGAGGGAGCAGGAGAGACGGAGAGATCTTTCTCTCTTTTGGTCCGGTGCAGCAAACAGACACGCTCACACTCGCACCCAGTTCGTGCCACTCGAGGGGACGGAGACGGGGAAAAGCCAGACCGCACAGTGCCAGCCGCAGAAGCACCAGAACGACGCCACAGGTAGAGTAAAGCCGCCACGCACACCGCCACGCTCGCCTTCAGGAGCCGCTTCTGACGCCTGGGACTCCCTGTAAATCTCCCAGAGGCTTGTTTTTGCAACTTTAGCTTTTATTGTGTGAAACCTGTGAGACTTCTTACCCCCCCCCCCCCCCACCCACCCACCCCCTGAGCTGTGGCTGCTTTGTGTTGGAGAGCTACAGCAGCAGCAGCAGGAGGAGGAGGAGGAGGAGGAGGACGTTAAAATGAGGACAGCATTTTTGGCAGCCAGTGTGTGAATCCTGCTGCTGAGGCTTTGTACTCACACTCATCATTTTACTCACACACACACACTTTTCCAGCCTCTGCATTAGCGAGAAAAAAATGTAGAAGAGCTGAGAAATTTGCTGACCCCTCAGGAAAAAAAAGTTCTCTCAAGAACGAGTGTGTCCGAACTTAAAAACTGGATTTGTGGTACGTGAGCAGATCCCTCTAGAGGACTTGAGGTTTCAACAAAGCGGGCTGAGGTGGGCCGAATGATGGATCTACGGAGGGTGGGAATCATAAAAGTTGATTGAATTTGGTGCAGGCTTGTGTCGGCGGTGCTCTGAATCAGCCTGAATTTGCTGAATGCTCCCGGCAGCTCCAGACTGTGATGCAATATAGTCAAAATAATGCCTTTGGGGGCTCTTTTGAAGAAAAAAAGACTCAAAAGGCTCTAGTTTAATTCAACTGAATGCAGTTGTGTGACTTTGAACCGTTCGGCACGCTTAAATATCACCCAAAAACGATGGAAAAGGGCATATTTACCTTAATCCCAGGCCCCCCTTTTTGTCTGGTCCTCTTACATAAATTCACTGCTGGATTCAGAACCGCACTGCCCTTCCCGTCTCTACGGTCTGTTTACAAGCAGTGAAACTTATTACCTTTTTTTTTTTCCTATTAACACTGCTTCTCACGGCATTAAACAGCCATTGGAGTCAGGTCTTGCATTCTTTTGGGAGTGGGTCTGTGTCTCAGCTCCGGGTTTATTAATAGAAATACAACGCGAGATACTCGCCTGCTTTTGTTCCTCCTCGAGCCACACACACACACACACAAATCCTCGCTTGTACCTTATCGCCGCTCCCAGTTAGTCCATATTTGGAGTCATCTTTTTTTTAGTTTAGGTTAGCAGGTTTACAGTGTTCCAAATAAACCCAGAACCCTCGTTTAGTATAAACAGATTAGAGTCAAGCCCCCGGCTGAAGTTTGAGTTATTCTTTGTGTTCACTGTTAGTTTGGCAGCTCCTTTATTTTAGGAACCATCATTATTCCCAGATTGTGTAGAAAATCACCAACATTTACAACCTAAAGCAGCAGTGGTAGATAGTATGTGAAAAAACACACAATAGAGTAACATTAAGGCACAGCTGGTGAACAGCATGATGACACAGATGGATTCCTTCTCAAAGTCCCTTCTGAAGAGCTGATTGTGGACACAGCCGTTGAGTTTCTTTGTGACTTATGGGGAGTTCACGTCAGATACGGGGACGAGGCAGAATTGTCAGTCAGAAGTGCTTTTTACACTGGACTGGAGGAAGCCGTGAACAAAAAAAACATAACAAAAAAGACCATTTTACAGACATTTGGACTTAAACCTTAATGGTTTAGATAGTTCAAATCAACAAAAACAGTATATTGTGTGGAGTAGCTTTATGAAAGCTTTACTGGCCCGTTAGCCTGTTTAAATCAATTAATGCTGACAAAACGGCAACATTTTTTTACATTTCTAGAAAATATATATATTTTTTTCACCTCAGTGTGTAACAATATGGGTGAAAATGCCTATTTTATTGCAGTACACATCTGTGCTTATAAACCTTTATTTAACTTTATTATCACTGTATATTATTTAGCAACAAGTGGGATAGATAAGCTGTCCTCTTCAGGGAATTCAGACTAAGTGATGTCCCTATTCACAAGGCTTTAATCTAACTTTAAGGAAACATACAGAATTACTTTATTATAGAGGAACTTTATGGTGTCTGGGGAAAGAAATAGAGGCAGAATTAATTCACTAGCACTTGAAAACTGCTGCCATGAAGGTAAAGTTGCAAACAGAAAATGCAGTTTAAAAAGTAAGATGAAAGGCTTGTTTTGGTGGAAAGTGAGTTCCCCAGTTCTGGAGGCTTGCTGTTGATCTGCTTCTTTCTGTTTTGGAGCAACTATTCTTCCTCCCCGGAGTCTCCAAACCTCATTCGGAGGCCCCAGCCTCCCTCCCGCCCTGTGGCATTTTTCAACAGCTGAACAATGAGGCTGGCACTGGAGGAGCAGCACTGTTATTAGCGTGTTTTGCATGCTAATACGTTCTCAGTTTTCTAGACTTTCCCTCTGGGCCTCTGCTCTGAATGATCATAGCTTCTTCATGCCTTTCAAGACAAAAAGAAACTGTTTATGTAAAATACACGCAATTGTTGCATTTACAGCCTCTGAGTTAGCTGTGTTTCCAGTCACAAAGACTCTTCTTGTGCAGCTTACATGCTCTTATAACACAGACCTCACAGTCGTTTGAGTCTTTCTATTGTTAACCTTCACACTTCTCTCCATCTGTGGCAACGTTCGCAGGAACCGGTCGGCCTTTTTGCTATCTGACTATTCATGTGCTCTGTGTAGCCTTTTTTGCATGACAACTTACAGTTCTGTGAATCTTTGACTGCCTACAGCAGTACAGTAGATCTTGTCTCTTGTATTTTTATACCCGTTGCTAGATGGGGCCTGGATTGTTTTGGAACTTCCCTCCCAAGGCTGGCTGCACGGTTCCACAGAGCCTCCTGCAGACCATGTACGTAGGATCGAGAAGCCACTTTACCCTCCGTGCGCTGCCACACGGGTCCTTACCCAGCCTGCGTGGACGCATCGGTGGCATTTTCCCGTCCATCCGCTCCATTCTGTCAGTCAGTTCAGTGTTTCACATGTTCATCACAGCCAGCGAGCTCCCATAATTCATACCAAAATCATCACCGCAGCCACAGAACAGGGAGAAGTCCAGCGATTGTAGTCTTAGACTTGTTTTGTAGACCGAGAGACCACAGATCAGATTGTGGACGGTAAGACTTCAAGAATCAGATGGCCTTTCAACCACTTCTACAACATCCACTTGCTCCAGGAAAAACTGCTATGATGGACTTCCCAAAAGTCAAATGTTACTGCTCCAGAGATTAAAAAAACCCCAACTACAACCAATTTAGAGAAAAACCGGGCCACAACTAGTACTTTCTTAATGTTCAGATAAAAATTTTAGACAATGTAAATTGATCAGGGTAATAATTAGAATGAAAACAAAAAATCTAGATAGTTTTGAGATTTTTACAGCTTTATTTAGTTGACAAAAACAAAAAAATGTTCTTTATCTTTTTGTTTCCCATTATAATTCAGAAAAATACCCAATCCTATACCAACTGTGTCTATTTCCAACAAAGCTGACGAAGAAAAAGAGTAAACTGGCTTAATTTATCCACAGACATAAACGTAGCTGGTACTGCTCAGCATGTTATGGACATGGCCTTGAGTTTTTAATCATTCGCTAAAACAATAGACACTTAAACCATTAAAGATTCACACTCCCGTGATATTACGCCATGGAAACGGGACAAAAAACGTCTTTTCTTTCAGAAAATCTACCGCGGTAACTACAAACAAATGAGCAACTGGAGGGTAGCACTAACCAGCTCCCTCAGTTTTGTTGAGTGGCGTTGGCTCCAACCGTCTCCCCTCTGTGTTGCTATGTGGACCTTATGAGACTCAACTGGGAGGGGGGGGGATTTTCCAGGTAAATCTCAACCTCACTGCTGCACTCAGGAGATGAAATGGAGCATCTGAACATGCCCAGTCATCGCCAAGTTACACGCCCCGCTTGTATGTCGCCTAGTTCTGTTCCCTGTGAGCTTTGAAGATGACAGCATGGATGCTGGGGGGGGGGGTTACGGGGGGAAGCATGTTTCACACATGTCTGCATGTTCATTAGAGCATCTTTGTTATCGACACAGATTGTGCGCAGTGCTCTAAAGGCCATTGTCCGCTGCCATGAAGTGTAACGCCTCGTGTGTTGGAACGAGGGGAAGGGGATTGTTTAATTAAGTAAATGATGCTTTAACATATTGGTTATTGAATGGAAGTGCTGTGTCACTCTGCGGTCACTAATCTATTAAAATGGAGGCTGATTATATGATAATGTCTGCAAACATTATTCTGGCTGATAATGGGAAGAAAAAAGAGCCGTGCGCCACTTCCCCTCATCGGAAAAGTAAAAGAACGTCAAAATTGCTGCACAGAAATGAACTTTGTGCAAATAAAATGTGTTTTGTCATACTGTTACTACAATTTTAAGCACATAGCCAATCAGTCAGATTAGGTGATGTCTTTTAATGACTATTAGACTTTATATCTTTTGGCTACATACTCAATTTTAGCTCATAATTTGTCCTTTTAGCATTGAGTAATATTAAATCCTAAAAGCATGAAATATTAAGAGAAAGTCATTTCCCATTCATCCCTCAGATCGCTCCAGTGGGCTTTTACTCCTGACACCTGGTTCTCAGTTCGGTTCAGGAAGGAGTCAAGTGAATATTCGCCTCCCCTCTCTGTGTGCCGTTTGTGGCCACACACCGTCCGCCCGTCTGTCCTGCTGGCAGCCACCCGGCAGCCCAGCGGCCGGACCACAGACACTAGGCCGCGACAGGGACATGCAGCCTGCCTTGCTTTTGACGGATAATCAGCACGAGCCAAATGAAAAACACCGTAAATATTTGGGCCTAAAGTTTTGTTTGGCTATCTCACGATGGGGGAAAAGGGTCTCAAACATTTCTGCTCTCAAAAAAGACACGAAATACGGAATAAAACATGAGTTGACCGTGCCCTTTTCAGTGCAACTCGTCTTTTCTGAACCATTTGGCGAATAATCAAGGCACACACTCTGGTGTGAATCACTGGTGTGATAGTGACAGAAGCTGTTCAGTCCCTCAGGATTATGTAACAGATTCTCATGGAGCTTTTGACCAGCTTTACCAGACTAAAACAACCCAAAAAGTCATCTTTTTTGCATTGATTCTGATTTTCTGGTGGATTTGTTATACTGAAATAATATGCAAGTCTTTTCCAGACATAAATTACGGTAAGCCCCTTCTTGCCCCTTCCACCTTGCAGACAGGAAAGTAGAGCTCTTCTGGCCTCTGAAAGCTGTTTTATATTTTTAGGAGAAAGTCTCTTGCGTGGACATTTTCTGTCATTGCTCAGAGGAAATATTTTAATTACCTTTTACTTAATTAAAAAAGTATCAAATAAACACTGTCTGCCTTCGAAAAATTACTCAAAAAATTATTTGATAATTGAATGAACTTTAGGTTAATGAAAACGAAATTATAAAAAAAGTGCTTCTCTTAAAAGACTGAAGAAAGATAAAAGAGATTAACGGAATTTAAAGGGTTTAACTTTAAACGCAATTTTTTGGAGCGACTCTTCTGCTGTTGCCTATGATTTTCCATAATGTTGGAAAAAACGGCCACTGGGCGGCCGTGAGCTTTGCCTTGGCTGAGGGTTCTGTGCATCCTTCCAGCTTTAGGAGCAACTTGTTTTTACAGAACTTAACTTTTCTGCCGGCTGATTTGCTGAATAAAGTCCCAGCTGCGAATGCCACTCTGTTTTGGGCAGGAGAGCACTGAATTATCTCCTCTGTCGGTCCTATGTATCTCCGGCCTGCCAGTCTCAGCTGTCCCTGCAAACGTGGACATGAGTGGGCTTCCTCTCAGTCACTGGTCACAGCCGGTCACCCACCAGGCACGCGCCCCGACACTGGGACCGGGTTTCAGGATGCACGTCCGAGCAGAAAATGGACGAGTGAAGCTTAGAAATGCGTTTTGGATGGCTTGTTGCTTATCTTCACGCTCCGTTTGTGGTGACTACACAAACCGTGCATGGGCCTGATTCATTTCTACTTTCTTCTGTAGATGGTGGTTACCATAGCAACATCCTCCGAGAGGTATGAATGGACAGTTGCCTTCATAATTAGCAGGAGAAGGGGTAATATCAAATAAATGCTAGCATGTTGTAATTGAGAGGAAGGTAAAATCAAACATCCTTCCTTCAGTTGGAGTTTGAAGGACACAACATTGACCCTTTTTATGGATTTTGGGCAGAATGAAGGCATAGTTTAATCAGATTTGATCCATAAACGGAAGAAGTGACCTCGGAGCTGTCAGAGGAATTTAAAGTTACCCAGCCAATGTCAGAGGAAAAGTACAAATGCCTACAGCAGAAGAACAAACTATACAAAAAGCAGGATGCTATTTTTCTTTTTTTTGGTCCATCATCATTTTTGAGGGGAATCTGGAGGAGGATGGCCCAACCTCTGCTCCAACTCCCCCCAGGGTTACATTGACGATGGACAAGAGCTACGGAGGCTTTGAATAGACGTGATGATCCCTTAACAAAAACTGGTTCATGACGAGATTCGGAAGATATTTATTCGTCTGCTCCTGAGTAAATGAATAAATAATGACACCAAAC